GAAGACTGTAATGAAACAATCAAACAGTCATCTCAAATGCATGTGTAAGTTAGGTTGAGAAATGGTAATAATTTGATGCTAAGCTGTATCATTTGGAACATGAATACTTCATGAATACTTCAAAGAGTAAGGTGTGCTGCTGACAGAAAGTACATTGTGTGGGTTTGATCCTTTTTCTGGTTTGATGCTCAAACTTCTTAGAAGACTCTTCTATTTCCTTGTTCTACCCGAACAAGTTGTGGCAGATAACTGGTCCGCCCTGAGTTTGTTTTTTCAGTCTCAGTCTTTCCTCCCGACCTAATTTGTGTGCATTCATTTGTTTTTCAGGTTTGGTGCTGAAACCTCTTGTAAGACTATTTTCCGTGTATTCTTCTTTCCTTTTTCTTTCCCAACCATTTGTGCCGGATAACTGGCATGCCTTTAGTCTGATCTTTTAGTCTCAGTTCTTCCTCCTTAGCTAGTTCCCTTTGCCTCTGCTTTTTAAGCCCTCATCAGAGCCATCAGATAGTCTCTCACTACCTGTTCTGTCAGTCTACAGTCTTGCTTATACTGTTTGCTCGGTCTTGCCACTGCTGCCATGGAATATGGAATGCACAAAGTGCCAAAATGACTTAAATAAATACATAATTTAAATAATGAATTAAATGTGTTGTTAATTAATTCAAATAGGTATTGTAACTCCCTCCAAGTTGAAAAACAGACACAATGTGTTTTTGATTTTTACTGGCATTTATTGGACACAGGTGCTACCAACGATGCCGTGAGAACTGTATAAACCCATGGTAAACAAATCAATAATCCTAAATCAACATTATCTCCTAAAAATGACAAAAGAGGAAAAAAGATACAAAAAACATTGGGTCACACACCCAGCCCTGTGACAGTAAAGAGACCTCTTGCTAATGCTTTGGGTTCCAAGTTTTGCTCGTAGCTGGTAACTAGCTTTAACATATAAATGAGAGCTAGAGAGATGTTGGAAGGCTGTGCCAGCACTACTTCATTCTTTCTGACATGACACAAATCAGTGATTCAGATTTAGTACACTTTATCTGAAATAGAGCAAAAGTTCAAACTGTTCTGATAATGCAGGGGTGATGTTTTGATTACTAAAGTTTCTGCTTTTTCTCATTTGTTCTCATCACATCGAAAACATTAGCTAATGTTGCCTATGTTGCTAAAGATTATTAGCTAATTTCAGCTTTCTGAGTCACTAGTCTGCTTGTGTATCGCGAGTTACCAGTAAAGGAGCTGATGTGCTTTATTATTTTACTTGTAAAAGATTTCTATTCCTATTCTGGGCTTCATTTCTTGTTTACAGTACAGCTCCAGGTCCAGGTTATAGCGAGTCAAAGGGTGTTACTTATCTCTGTTCAGTAGCAGCCTGTATTCAGTCTGAATATTGGTATAAATTTATATGGGTTTAAATTCAGTTTCAGTGTTACATTTAACTTTTGGGAGACAGCACAAAGACTGACAGAAGAGGAAAGAGAGGGAGAGAAAGGGACAGAGCAATGGCTGTAGAAAACTCTTTTCTACGACTAAAATTGTAAAGGGAGTATAGCTTCTGTTTTCCCCATATTCATCTATGATGATTTCACATAACTAAGCAGTTTGCTATACTGATATCAAATATGAATGCCCAACCTGCTCATATATTATATCGTATATTATCATCATAATCTGATCAGATTATATTACTATGTAATCTTGAAGTTAAATGTGTTTGTGCATGACCGTCAGTGCAAAGAAGAAGGGGAGGACAGAGCAGCAAGAAGCAGGTGAGTAAATGGGCAGATAATGAAGTTTGTGTGAAGACTGTAATGAAACAATCAAACAGTCATCTCAAATGCATGTGTAAGTTAGGTTGAGAAATGGTAATAATTTGATGCTAAGCTGTATCATTTG